CTTTTCAGTTTACCGTTTTTTTTTGTTTTTTTTTGGTTTGTTTTTATCATGTTAAAGTGTTTGGTGTACTTTGGCTCTGATCCACCCTCTGGAAACAAAGAAGGGTGAGAAAAAAAAAAAAAACTCAAAAAGGAAGTGGCTGGTAGCTACCATCTGATTCTGTTTCTCCTATAGACATAAGTGGGAGATGGACTACCACCACTAATAGTGCACGCAGACATTGGACAAGGCTTTCACCGTTGTCTTCTTTGAAAGACCATTGAGGATAACTTTCCCATTGAACATATACACTGAGATAGCAATGCTTTTAAGTGCCACACATGATCACTGCTCCCACTGAAATCAATCTGGCTGTTTATGCACATGCAGTATTGTTGAAGTACAGCTGTATGCTCACTACCATTACAGCCAAATAAATGTCAGTGATGCCGGTAGGTGTATTCTAGCAACTATATATCCTCCTCCTAGTTTTACGAGCATGTAAAATAACCTGTAGTAGAACAGTGGCTTGTTCTGAAAAGTCGGCAAAGATGTGTAAGGTGTGGAGTCACCAATGGTTTCCATGGTGATGGACTCGCTTTTAGTACTTTGCACCATATTTCAGAACATGGCATTTTGATAAATCACACCCTTTCATTTTATCATTACAGGCATGGCCACACTGATTGCACAGAGATATAAGCTGTCTGTCTGGTGAGATTACATGCTGTCTACTTAGTTCTCGTTAGAGACTGTTGAATTGTCTTAATTATTCCTACTACTAACTTGGAACCGCCATGAAAATTAGTCTAGAAAAATGAAAATATTGGCACTATAAAATATATATATAATTTTTTTTTTTGCGTAAATATTTTTATTAGGAGTAAGAGTCAAGTACAACTTATTTTATGTTCCACATACATGGCATATAGATTATAGGCAATTAAATTCTGCAAAACAGGAAAAACATTTACAGATGTCTCTACGTTACCATCCAGCTCCAATAAGGGTCAAAGGAAAAGAGAAGCATTTGACACTAAAGCAGTCCTTAATGTCAACCTTCCAAATATCCATTATTTCTCCACCTAAACAATCTAAAGCCACAACATTAATGGCGTCAAATCTGAATTATATTAAAAAAGAAATCCGTGCGGTAAAAATTTTTTTTTTTACATTTATCGGTGGAGAGGGGTGGGTTCTGAAAGATGTAGTAATAACTTGTGTAACAAC